GTTTCCTGGATTGACAAAGAGGACCTTTGTTTTTGGCCTCGAGTCCTGTCTTAGGCGTCCCAGCAGCAACATCAAGCACGCATTGGGGATTGGAAGAGCACAACTCAAAAACACCCTGAAGACTTTTCCTAGAATCACATGCTGGTTAACTCTGAAGGATAAACCAATTTCCAGATGGGGACCAGAGATAATCTGGCCTTGGTCACCCAGGAAGTCAACTCTGGTCTGCTAGTTCAGGGCTTCCTTTGCTCCCTCTACTACGTGTATTATATGTTTCCTCACTTCAGGGTTATTGAGGGGCCAGGGAAAGGCCTGGGCAGGCTTTTCCACAAAGAAAAGCTCTGAAACAGTCTGCTGGAGGTTGTGGGCAGTGAGCCTGCAAGATAGGGCAGGTTAAGAGGGAGCTTGTCCATAGGCGCAGGGGAGTCAGCAGGGCCAAGCTTACTGGCCAGACCAAATCAGTCGCCAAGTGAACCTGAGCGAACTCTGTGAAACATAAATCATTACAAGCTAGTGTCTGATCAAGTTAAATCCTATGACCTGCTTTTTATAGCTCTTGGTTCACTCTGTATAAAAAATATGAATCATTGGGCCAAACTCCAGTCACCACCCTCCTTGGCTAACAACATTTGGGAACATTGAGAATGATGTGGCAGCTGCCCTTTCTGGAGTGTATGGTGGGAGGGAGAAGAGGCTCAAAGAAGGAAAACAGAAAGCTGGGCAGAAGTCTAGCCTCAGCAGAGCTGCCTGATCCTCCTTCTCCCGTGGGTCCCCACAGCCCTGTACAGAGCATCCTAGACACCAGGGGTTGGTCTAGGGCAGGACAGAACTGAGCAGTGGTATAAAGGAGCTGTGCTGTCTGTGAACCAGGAACTGATTGTTGTTTCCAGAAGCCGGAAGGAGCCTCACTTCCCAGCACTCAGACCCACCCAGGCCTCCTACATCCTCATGGATGATTTCAGCACTAACCTCTCCCTCAAATCTCCCATAAGGAGCTGCCAAGTAACCAAAAACTGTAAAAGGAGAACAAAATGAAAACCAAGCTCTTGGGTAAAGCCTGGAGTCTAGCCTGTGCTTCTTGGCTGCAGAGGCCAGACTCAGTGAGGGCTTATCTTCTGGAGCGGGGCAGGGCACAGCTCAGCCTCCAGCCCTTCTCCCACGGTTTGTAGAGAGCTGGGTGACTGGTTGGATTGTGATCCAGCGCCAGAGCCCTGGACTTGGGATTCCAGAGGCCTGGGTCAGACGCTAACTTTGTGTGAGCTGGTACACATCACCCGACCTCCCTGAGCCTAAGTTTTTCGTATTATAATGAACAAGACAGAGCAGGCGGGGGAGTGCCAGGCATGCCCATTGGGAGAGAACCCATGTTCGGAATTACAACTCTGCAGCAGTTCACGGCTTGGCCTGCTCCTTCCCTGTCTCCCTCCTTCACTATAGACCTGCCTTTGGGGAACTTGGAACCGCAGAGGTTGAGCCTTGGAACTGGCCTGTCTCCTGTGCTGCTGTCATCATGGGAGACCAAAGTCACTGCAGTCATAGCAACAGAACACTTTCACAGAAAAGGAGCATTAGGAAGGCCCTGCCAATGGCCCAAGTCCCTGGCTGGGTTGCCTCCAGTGGCCCACCCTGTGCAAGGCTCTAGTACAGGAAGATCCGGCTGTCCAGGCCGTGGAGCTGACTAGGGTGCCGCAGGGCTGGGTATACAGCAGGTTAGGAGTCCAAGGTAGAAGTGTGAGGAGGAGTCAAAGGTAGAAGTGTGCACTCTTGTTGGTCATGGTCTGGTTTTCACCCTTCCTGCACATGCCTCCCAAGCAGGAAACAAGTTCAAGAAAATAGCCTGACTGGCACTCACATCAGACCCGGAAACAAGTCTATGATAGCTCCAGGCTTGTGTCTGTGCCAAAATCCAGATGTCAGGGTCTCCTTCCACAACAGGGCTCCTAGATTCTGGAACCAAAAATCCATGGGCAGAAGGGTCCGCCTCACTTTCTCTTGGGCTCACGCTCCTCATAGGTTCCTGATAAGATGCCTCAGACCAATCTTGCCTCTCCAGAGACAAGGCATTCTAATTTTTTTTTTTAAAGATTTATTTATACAAGCACTGGGTACAGTCAGAAGCGCGGGAGGGTGAGAAAATTCACCAGAGCCTGAGCGGGGAGCAGAGCAGGCAGAAGGACCCAAGTACACTGCTGAGGGGAGCAGTGGGTGGCAGGAGAGGTCTGCGTGCCATGTGGGACCCTCCTCCGGTGGCCGGGAGCAGCCAGGAATCAAACCGGCGCTGCAGAGGCTGCGGGCAGCTTCGCAACCCAGAGCTCAACTGCTGCACCACCGGGGAGGCTCTCTAATTTTTTTAAAAGATATATTTATTTATGCATACCAGAGCTGGGGACAGGCTAGAGATGTCAGGAGGGGTCGGTGAGAGGATCCACCAAAGACAGAGCGGGGAACAGAACAGGCAGGCTGACGAAATACATTGCTGAGGGGAGCAGCGGGCACAACAGGAGAGGTCTGCTGCACCATGTGGGTTTCTCCCTGGCCGGCCGGGGATCGAACTTGTGCTGCAGAGGCTGCGGATTGCTTCATAGAGCGGTGCTTAACCCCTTGTGCCACCAGGGAGGCTCCATTCTTTCTATTCTTTAACATTTTTATTACACAAGTTTATCAGGCATGACAGTTCCATTGCTCTCAAGAGTGGCAAGAAATGTCCTAACTTTATTTTTCTAATTGTGAGAGAATTATTAGGAGTTCCTCAGCCTAAGTCGACCAGCCTGTACAGACATCCCCACAACATGCCATGTCCCATCTCCCACCTCATGTGAACAGGGCACAGGCCTCCATCTGTGGGATGAAGCCCCTACCTCCCCTTCCAAGTCTGGGGGATTTTCAGGAAAAGTCTTCTCCCTAAGGTGCCACAAAGCTGTTCTCTCGATGGGGCCAACAAAGTAAAAGGCCCTCAGGCAATCTCTGAAACACTAAAGGTATTACCCCAGAACGGAAGCTTGGTTGCACTGTCTGTGCAGAGAAGGGAAGATCATTTCTTAGTTTTATTGTTCATGCATCTGCTTTCACAGTTAGAGTAACTTCTGTACTAAATTATTCATACATTCCCCTACCTTGTATGGAAATTCCATTCTGTAGTTTGCTTTCTCCCTTAGATCTCTTTTCAATCAATAAATATAGATCTTCTTCAGCATTTTCTATGGTCTCATAATACTTAATTGTTTTGATGTACCTCATTTTCACTTCGCATAGTCCCCTGTTGATGGTGACTTCTAAGTCTTCAGTGTTATAAGCAACACAAGGTCAATAAACACTGTGGCACATGAACTTGCTTGTTTTATTTTGATAAATTCCAAGAAGCTAAATTGTGAGGTCAAATTATAGTCTATTTTAAAGATCTAATTCTCTACAGTTCACTCCCAGAAAGGTCGCACTAATGTAGCAACATGGGGGTGAAGGTCCTCCCATCCTTGCTAACACCAAGTTGTAAAGCCAGTGTCCCTTCCACCCCTTAAATGCCAGGATTCATTTAAAAAAAAATAAATTTATTTATGCATACAAGAACTGGGGTATAGGCCAGAGGTGTGGGGGGTGAGAGGATTCACCAGAGACAGAATGGGGAGCAGAACAGGTGAATCCACTGAAATACACTGCTGAGGGGAGCAGCGGGCGAGTCAGGAGAGGTCTGCTGTGCCATGTGGGTCACCTCCCTGGCTGGGGATCGAACTCCTGTTGCAGTGGCTGCAGATAGCTTCATAGTTTGCGTCTCAACCCCTTGCACCACCAGGGAGGCCCCTAAATACCAGGATTTAACATAGGACTCTGCCTAGCTCTCGTGACACCCCACGGCCTTCCTCCCATGGAGACAGAACATGTGTAGTTGACTGTTTTCATCCCCAGATGTAATCTGGCTCCTACTTGTCATTTCTTCTTTTAAGAAGCCTCAGGCTTAACCCCTTCTTTCTACCAACAGTCAATGAGAACCAAGTGGGCACTGTGGGAATAGGCCTTCTTGCCCCCCTGTCCTAAGATCCTACCTGAGTCCAGGCTTCTTCTCCACACACTTAATTCAATTTTTAAGTGTACAGATCTGTGACATTAAGTACATTCATGTTGTTGAGCACACATCACACCCACCCAGCTCCAACTAAAATTCTACACTCATTAAACACTGCTCTTCATCCTCCCTCATTCCTCTCTCCCCACTGCCCCTGTCAACCATCACCTTCCTTCCCGTTTCTATAAATTTGACCACTTTAGGTACCTCATGTGAGTGGAATCATGTGTCCTATTTTTTTTAAAGATTTATTTTTATTTATTTATTCATACAAGAACTGGGGTGTAGGCCAGAGGTGCGGAGGGTGAGAGGATTCACCAGAGAGTGGGGAACTGAACAGGCAGATCTACTGAAATACACTGCTGAGGGGAGCAGCGGGTGAGACAGGAGAGGTCTGCTGCTCCATATGGGTCAGCTCCCTGGCCGGGAATCGAACTCATGCTGCAGTGGCTGGCGATAGCTTGATAACGCTGAGACTTTAACCCCTGGGCATCAGGGAGTGCCTCCCCCCTTGTGTCCTTTTGTGACTGGCTTATTTCACCTGATGGCATGTCTTCAAGGTTCACCCATGTTGAAGCATGTGTCAGAATTTCCTTCCTTTTTAAGTGATTAATATGCCATTGTATGTATACATCACAGTTTGTTTACCTATCAGTAGACACTTGGATCATTTCCACTTTTTGGTTTTTGTGAACAACTATGAACATGAGTGTACAAATATTCTAGTACTTGCTTTCAATTCCTTGAAATCCCACCCCAAAGTGGAATTGCTGGATCATATGGTAATTCTATGTTTGATTTTTTGAGGAATCATCCTATCATTCATTTTTCATAAGAGATGTACCATTTTACATTCCCACTGGCGATGCACAGGGATTCCAGTTTTTCCAATCCTTAGCAACACTTGTTAATTTTTTTTTTTTTATAATCGCCACCCTAATAGGTGTGAAGTGGTATCTCATAGTGATTTCGATTTGCATTTCCACAGAGAGCCTTCTTCAGGTAAGGAAATCCCAGGGTAGGAAGGAGTGTGGGTACAGAATTGGCTCCTACACCACCTTTTTTAAAAAGATTTATTTTATGCATACAAGAACTGGGGTACAGGCCAGAGGTGGGGGGGGGTGAGAGGATTCACAAGAGACAGAGTGGGGAGCAGAACAGGCAGACTGACTGAAATACCCTGCTGAGGGGAGCAGTAGGCAAGGCAGTAGAGGTCTGCTGCGCCATGTGGGTCACCTCCCTGGCCTGGGATGGAACTCCTGCTGCAGTGGCTGCAGGGAGCTTCACAGTGCTGCATTTTAACCCCTTGCACCAGCAGGGAGGCCCCTCCTACACCACCTTTAATCCTGCCTCCTTTCCCCAGAAACAGAGGCTCAGCTCTCCTGTCCCCACTCCTATACTTCTCCCTCAGATCCTATGGGATGACAGGAAGCCCAAGTTTTGAAGGGGAAGAGGAGGTGAGAGGAATCTGCTGATCCTGGAGGGCTTCTCAGGCAGGAGAAGCAGCAGCAAGACATTCCAGCCCATCCCCACCAGGCAGAGAGCTTTATTAATCTCCATGATCAAGGCAGCACTGGGAGGGGGCGGCAGGCAGGGGGAATCCTGCTGTTCCTTCAAGATGACACAAAGGGTTAGCTTCTGGGACAAGAGAAAATCCAAGACCAAAGCACTTCCCCACGGGGGAAGGGAGGAAAGGGTAGATTCTGAGAGCAAGTCATAAAGCAGAAGAGCAAACCAAGGCCCAGAGAGCGGCATCGATTTTCCCAGAGTCATACAGCAAGTGGGAAGGCAGGGAGATCCAAAAGTAACTATCATTGTTGATATGGCTTCCTCTTGGCAGTTTTCTCAGGCCCTGCCCCCACCTGCTGACCTGGCACACATCTTGTTCAAGTGAAGAGGTCCTTAGAGAGCCATGTTCCTCAGGTTTCTGGTCTATTTATAATGAGGGGCCAAAGACTGTTACAGATGGTGCCCCCCGGACAGGGGTGCTGGTGAGGATGAATGCCACAGGCGAAACACAAACAACATATCCATGGAAGTGGAGACTGATAAGAAATATAAGTGAAGCAGCCCCCGGGATTCTGCTTTCGGGAGTTCAGTGTTTTCGGATATTCGGGGATTCCGGGAGCAGCCATTTCTGCCCCCACCATGCCAATCTTCCGGAAGGCTGCTGAGGGCCTCTGAAGGACATGGAGAGGCTTCCAGCAGCCAACCTCAGAGAAGAAAAGTTCGCAGGCTTTGCAAGTAGCCAAGCAACTGAAACTGCTCCCAGCTTTGCTGCTGTTACAGCCTGGAAGGGAAGGCAAAGACCCAGAGGCAGGAACCTCGCTGAACTGCGTGAGTGTGGCCGTTTGTCTGGTCAGTTGGCTGCTGCAGCTACTGCTTTGAGTGTCAATTGTCTGGTGCTGTGCTGGGGCATCTTGGCAGCTCTGGGGAGTATCTCCTGTTGCGTCTTCTGCTGTCTTCATGAGTTGGATCCCAGCCTATTGTCTGGCTGCCATGTGCTCTGTGTCTGCAGTGGCGGGAAGATGCCATCTTGGGAGCGTTTGTGTTCAGGACTTTAAAATACTGGACACTACTTTAGATGAGGTAAGCGGCCATTTGTGGCCTCAGTGACTCTTTTTTTCCTTGTTTGTTAAATAAATCCCATTATTGTTCTCTGAACCTAAGAGGTCTTGCAATTGTGTGTGACCGGTAAACTATTTAGGCACTGTCCTTGGCCAGTTTTGTGCCCCTTGCTACCCTGTATTATATCGACCTTGTAACTTCCCATGAAAATCATACCTCACAGCCAAGGCCCAGGTCCCAGAGTCCAGACAAGGCAGCAGCCACGTTCTCTGCCTGGGAACTTCGCCAGCGAAGGAAATGAGGCATGTCTAGCATGATCAGCTCTGCCAGACAAACCTCATTTCCTTTTAACAGAGTAAGTTCCAAGTCCTAAGAAGAAACCAGGCCCTAAGAGTGTCCATACTTCCAACTTCTAGAAACAAGAGGAGGGAAGCCTGGGAGTGTAGCAGAGATTTAGTAACCCCTAGAATTCAGTCAGCTTCTCATTTCCTCAACATCTCCCCACCCCACCTCCCAAAGCTTCCATCTGTCACCAGCACCAATATCTACTCATCTTCCATTGGTGCCCACCTGCCCCTTAAATCAGAAAAGAAATGACCTGCAGTTACAAAGATAGGGCGCATTTATTCATGTTATATTTGGATTTTAAAGGCAAAAATACAGTTCTGTTTCGAACACCACTATCCCCCCTCCCCAGAACAATGGTAAATACACATATCTGCATACACAGGAAATGAAAATATACAGCAAGACAGATGTATAGGACAGGAAAGCTGAAGACCTGGCTGTGTGGGGCACCCCACGTCCAGCCCTGAGGTCAACAGGGAGGATCCTATCCACGCTGAGAGCCAGCACCAGCATTACCTCCGAGGTACCACCTCAGCCCTCTGATCTTTCCCAAAGGCCACTTCACAGGGTCACTAGCAACAGGATAGACAGACACAGAGAAAGGCACAGCGCGTGACAACTTCATGGTGATGACTTCCAGGTGAAGGAAATGCTTCCTGAACTCCAGGCCCTGAACTCCCCAGGGAGGAAACTACAGAACCGACAGCATCTCATGAACTAGGCAAGTGTCCAGGCCCAGCCCGGGGGCCCCCTCAAGGGCAATGGAAGGTCAGCAAATGGGGAAAAGGTGAGACGGATTCCCCTGGGCTCTGAGAATGAGCCACATATTCGACTACTCCAAGTGAACATGGAGGAAAATGTAATAGGAAAACAAAAAGAAAAAAAGTTTTGTTTTAACAATAAAGTAACAAAGAAGTTAAGTTACCACCAGGTTATTTTTCTCCTTTCTCATAAGGCACTTTGGAGAAGTCAGGATGGTGGGGCGGGTGGGGGGGGGGGGGTGGGGGGGGTGAAGAGGGCCCTTTTATTCTTTACATTTCCCAAAACTTCCTCCCCATGCAGCCACTCTGAACTTTGCTAACATCGTTTTTTAAGAAGGGGAAAACTAACGGTAGGAATACTCTTCGCATAGCCCAGCTGCTTCTGCAGTGGAAAAATAATTTTTAACTAATACAAAGGCGTCTGGAAAAAGAATCAAGTTAGCATCTGAGATGCTCAAAGCGATAAAGGCACAGGTAAGACAGGGCCAGGCGCCAGCTCAGCCTCCACACCAAGGTCAGTAGTGGGGGTCCCGGTTGCCACAGCTGAGTCTTATGCCTTTACCCCAGGCTGGACCCGCAAGGGTGCTCAGTGGTAGGAGTTGCCTTGGGCATCTCACCACAGCAAAGATGGGTTTGGGGAAGACACTCCCTTGGGTCAGCCTCCCTGGAATGGGGAACCTGCTAAAAACCTGAGAGGGAATGGGAGGCTTCAGGCACCAGAGTGGTCGTGGGGGAGCAGGGGTGGGTCCTGATGAATTTCTTTCTATGTCTCTTAATTAAAAGGCACATTCATGCTGGAGAATGAATAGTCTAACCCTGAGTGTCACAGGCAAGTTTTAAGGAACTTGCTAGAAGCAAAAGAACAATAAGGAGGAGGAGGAAGAGGAAGGAAGAATTGGTCATGCAAGGTGGGCCAGGCAGTGTGGCCAGCAGAGCCTCCCAGAGAGATGGTCCCCAGGGTAAGGGGCTGGTAAACAACTTGACTGCTGTCACAACTCCACGTCCAGGTGGGCAGAGGTGGAGGTTCTGCCCTGCCCACCAGGGTTGGGTGGGTGGGGGAAGGTGGGGAGCTCTGCCCAGCAGGCTTTTGCCCCCACCCAGAGGTCCGGCAGGATAGGGCTGACCAGGCTTTGCCCTCATCGAGGGGATGAAGGTGCTGATTTGCTCTTCACAAAACCTGGTCTGTCAGCTTTATCAGAGGCCCGTTTGGGGCCACTACAGCATACATTATTGTTCCCCTAAAAAATGTTCAATCCCCTCCCCAATATTTAAAACACCACAATAAAAATACATAGTAAATTCAAGTTTACATAGCACGCTCAGAAAAGAAACTGCCATGACAACACTAAACAGCTACGCAAATCTGGATTGACACACAATCAAGCTAGCTCAGAATTAGAACCTGATTTGTTCTTTCTTTAAAAGACTACAAACTGCTATTCTAAAAAAGTCTTTACATTCAGAAATCAGACAATCTGGAGAAAGGCCACTGAATGTGAGAACACTCGCGGCTTTTGCTTTGATAGCTAAAGTTGCCTTGGAATTCACACTTTTGAGCAGGGCAAAAAGATCCAAGGCTCAAGTTTAAAATTCATTTGTTAAAAAAAATACACAAACACACACACACGAGTGATTGTAACAGTGGCATAGAACTGAAAGGAGGAGGGAAGGGGATCAAATGAGAATGGTTGATTTCTGCGTTTTCCTGTTAAAATGTGATAACCAAAAAGAAAAAATCTTATCAGTTCAACTTCAGCAGCACTTTCCAATTTTTCATAGGTAATAATACCACAATTTAAAGCAAAATTCTTATTTCACGACAAATTAGCAGTTGATCATGGGGAATGAGTCCCACAGCCACCAAATTTTGGGCTGTGCCCAGATCTGACTCTTTGGAGTGACCCTGTGAATATGCCAGGGATGCCCCAAAGGCTGACAGTTTCTTCACTTACAAACACCTTGTAGAGCTAAGAAGTCACATGCTCAGCCAAGTTGGGGGCAGAATCTCCCGCTCTGGTCATCTGGAAAAGCATCTGAATGGTGAGTGAAGGGGCCTATCACTCAGACTGGTAAGGATGAGAGGGACCAGCCCAGCAGATTGGCAAAACACAGCAGAGGTCCTGCTCACTTTCAGGTTTCTTATTGTTCTTCCAAAATGCTAGCTCGGTGACCCAATGTCCACTGTGATCTTGGTATATAAGGGGTGTCTCTCTTTGTCCAACACTTTATAGGTGAGTGAGTTCAAACCATCAGAGAACATTGTCTCCTTCGTGTGTGCAATTCGGTCAAACCTACACGGAAACAGGGCAAGGGGTTGGTGTCAAGACAAAGATCTTAGGAAAAAAACACTGAACCTTTGTACTTCACTGCTCCTCCCCCTCCTACTCCACCCTCACCCCAATAGCTGAACCCTCCCTTTCCCTGGAGGCACAGAACCATTTCCAGAGCCTCATTCCTGCAGCCTATCCCACACCATAGAGGGAAGAAGGAATATAAAGGAACACAAAACGCACCTTTGAGGATTGGGTTCATTTTTCTTGTCTCTTGAATGACGGATCATCCGACACTTGCCAACAATAGCATTTGGGCGAGATATAGACATGCCCTTAAAAACTAATCTGCAAGGAATAAAGGGGCACGTGATCATCGCAGTGCTGCCGTAAGTCTTGGGTCTGATAGCCCAAGCTGCAAGACCACAGCCCCAAATGCCACCGTGCTCACTGTGCTCACAGGGACCCCACCCCAAGCCAGCATGGCACCGCTTCCCTAAGTCCTTTTGTCTGGTGACTGTTATATGCCAGCCTCTGGGGTGCCTGCCCTCACAGAACTCACAGTGCAGATATTAGAACAGTGCCAGGCGGGGAAGAGGGACTGTAGCAGAGAGAAGCGACTAACTGCCTGAGGAAGAGCAGTCAGAGCCACGTCATGAAGCTGTACAGGTTCCTGCCAGAGCATTTTGAGTGGCCAGGACAGTACAGGAAAAGGCAGGGAGGTGAGAGCAAGCACAGTGGCCTCAGGGGGCAACACGAGCTTCAGGAGAGTGGTAGAAAGGGTTTACGATAGGAAGTGGTCAGAGATGAGGCTGGAAAGAAGTGCAAAGGCTAAGATGTGGAAGGCTTCTCAGAGCTCTTAGCATCCCAAAGAACAGAGCCAGTGTCTGAAAGGACTACAACACGTGGTATTTCCCAAAGGCTTTTGATCAAGGAGAAGTCTTTCAGATAAGCAGTCTAAAAATGGAGGTCAGGGAATAAGACTAGAGGCAACCAGGAGAGGGTAGACGGTTCTGAGTAGGACTGGGGGCAAAGCATGAGAATAGGAAAATTCAAGTGAGTTAAGAGGCAGGACTGGCTGGTCCTGGCCTCGTGTAGTGCTCTGCTCATGCAGCTCCCATGCTAATCTAGTGCTTGGCACATTAGTAGGTGATAAAGGACCTAGCTCTTACATAATATTTATCTTTCTAGAAAACCACTAATCCTTCCAAAGATGGAGGCATCCATCCTCAGTGCTCCCTGTTTCCAGCCTTTCTGACCATTTAGGCCTATGGTGTCACATCAGTCCTGAACACCATCCTATGCACTCAGGGTTTGCCCAGGTGTGGTGCTGTGTAGGCAAGTTTATTTAAAGATTTATTTTATTTATTTATGCATACAAGAACTGTGTGTAGGACAGAAGTATGGAGGGGGTTTGAGAGGATTCACCAGAGACAAAGTGGGGAGCAGAACAGGCAGACTGACTGAAATACACTGCAGAGGGGAGCAGCAGATGAGACAGGAGAGGTCTGCTGCGCCATGTGGGTAGCTCCCTGGCCGGGGATCAAACTCGTGCTGCTGTGGCTGCAGATAGCTTCACAGTGCCAAGACTTATTCCCCTGTGCCACCAGGGAGGCCCCAAGGCAAGCTTATTTTTGTCTGGGCGTGGTATCCAGGTCTTTGGTGTCCTCATTGGGCCTACCGGGCACAGTGCTCTCTCTGCATGTAACAGACACTCAATAAGTGCATGCTTGATAACCAGTCTTCATATTCTAAACTTGAAGTTTTCTTCAAGGCCTTTATTAAAGACTTGAGTGTATGTCAGGTTCTCATACAAAGTTAACCTTGAATGACCTGGGTGCTACTCTGACAGACATCTCCTATTAATTGATCAAATTCATGTATTCCCATTCAGGAAGGCAACAGCGTGTATTCTGATGTCAAACCCACAGACAAGTTCAGACAGGCTCCCAGAAGGAGAAGTTGCTTCTTCTCTGCAGCTGGCAGGATTGAAGCCTCCATTACCAGGGGGAACTAGGCCAAGTGTGGATGCAAATGCCACTGACAGATGGCTTTTGACCACCTGCAAAGACAGCTATGTAAACCTACAAAGGTTTACTGGCTTCCAGGGAGCCCCAGGGTGTGGATGGGTGAGTAGGTCATGGAGTGATGGTTACTTCACGATAAAGGGGGTGGGCTACGCGTCAAGTACACTCACCCTTCACTTGGGTCTCACTTTACATTTTTCAAGGCTAAAGCAAAAAATCATAAGGCCCAACTTTTCTGAAGACATCTTTAGCATCTATAGCAGGACACACCCAAGAATTTGGAGTGGAGACTGTACCCCCCACCCCCACCCCAGGGTCAGTCTGGCAGAATAACCAAACATTTATTGAAAAACCAGATGTGAAGGAAGACAGGGAGAAGAATGAGATCAAATTGTGACCATTACCTGTTAAAAATGTCATCGTCTTCACCTCCCCAGCCCCAGTAATTATTAGGAAATCCATTGATGGTGAGAAACTGCTGTTTGCTTAGAGCAGAGACACCTCCAAAATACTGAACGTAAGGTAGGCTGGGGAAAAAAACACACACACGTGGGGGTCAGTGGTTAGTAAGCTCTAATTTTCTCAAAATAATACTTTCTCAAAACAAGCTCTTCTAAAAGTAATTTTTATTCTCTGGGACGCTTAAATTGGGAATTAGTTGGAATTAATTGGAATTTAATTAATTGGCATTCCAAGGAATTGGAATTTTATTAATTTTTGAGGATCTTCTTTAAGTTTGTTTTGTTTTCTTTTAGACTCAGATTATATTCAAGAACACACACTGATCGCAAAAGGCAGAATACTGTGTTGCTCTTGTGGTTATCTAGAAAATCAGTCCATGACAAGTCACAAGCACAGTTCTCTTGCACACCTCAGGAGCCTGCTTCCTGTGTCTCACTCCTGCATAGACAGTCCTTATACAGGAGGTCCTGGACTTAGACTGTTTTAGGGTCTCCCTGTCATGTCCCCCTGCTCCCTATCCCATCTGCCACTCTAGCTTTCACTGTCCCAAAAGTACTGGTTTGAACACTGACCCCAACAGTCAGATTACATTTCTGAAAAAATGCTAAAATAAACATTTCCTGGAAATTCCCACCATATCCTGACTTAACAAAATTTACGCTCTATCTTGAATTTATTTTGACACATTTTCAAGCAGTAGGCTTCTGGGCTGTCATCCTTCCAAACCTCTTCATATTTCAATAGTGCACCAGTTATGAATCGTGGACTCCAGAGGGATGCAGAGTAAGCACTGATGAGAAATGTTAAGAATCAGGACATGCCCAGAGGTCAGGCGAAGAAAGGCCTGCCTGTGGGTCTTTTAAGGAATGTGGTTTGTGACGACCCTGTGGACAGCTCCAAACCACAATCAGGCTCTTACTGGAAGCCAAAGAGACCAAAACCTATCACACAACTTAATGAAACCTCTAACTCAGATTTTGAGGGGGAAGTCAGCCAAACCAGATAGAACATAAGGGGGACAAAAGGTACAATTATTATTTTCAAATTTATTTAGGAATTCTGACTTGCAAGAACCCACAAGCAAAAATCCCTGGGGGCCTGCTTTAATGAAGCTAAGGTAGTCTGTTCGTAATTAAGTGACATTGCTCAGATGCCAAGTCAACCACTTTTTGGTTTACCTCACACTACAGTCTACACTTGTAATGGGAGGCTTTGAACCAGTAGTGGCCAGGTCAAAAAGGTTTTTTGATAATCAGTGTTTTTACACTTAGCCACTTCAATGGGAAGTACATGCTAAATTGATGAGACTTGGTTTTGTTGTCTCTGCTGCTTTGTTTGGTAATACCTGCCTCAACCCCTCCCCCGCCCCTGCCCCAACACTGCCCCCAAGCCTGACTGGTTAGGGGAAAACACAGATGTGGTACTGCGGTAAAGAATTAGGTGATCACCACCATGCTTCCAGGGAGGAATTAAGAGGGGTCAGGGAATAAGTCTGTGTATCTCAGAGAAGATGATACACAGAAGGGGGAGGCAGGAAAGACAGGAGGGCAAAGAGTGATGGTTAGAATTATGTTTTTCACCCTTTAAGATAGCAAGTTTACGGCCTGAATACATTTATCTACGGGAAGGAATTCATAGCAATTCTGTAATCATCTCACAACCCCCAGACCCCTGAGCAGGGAAGATAGAATGGATTATGAGAATAAAATGAAGCTGAAAAAAGGTAGTTGTATCTATGCCAAAGGGCTGCTGGTTGGCACAGGGCAGCTGCCTCACTGTATAGTCAGCCTATGACAGGGGTGCCCAGTGCCCAGAGCAGGCACAGCACAGCTTCCTAGAGCTCTGGGTTGACTTAGAGCAGGGAGAGAAAGGTCAGGTTATTCAACTGATTTAGAACAACTTAGAACAATTTTTTGTTAATAGAAACATGGGTAAATTATGAAATAAAATGCAAATTTATTCTTTAATGTAAAATAATGCACTACAAGGCAATTTTCCATCAACGACAATATATTTTGGATTGCATCGCTGTCCCTGGGAACCAGCAGCAGCTGCCTTCTCACCAGGGAGCATTTTGGTGGAACCGTTTGGGCTACTGTTAAAGCAGATGCTGGTGCGCTGCTGGGAAATAGAACCAAGTTCCTTCTTAAAATGCCAGGGGACACCTGCTGAAGTACCCAAGCCCCAGAACACTGAGAGGAAAGGAGTCCTCAAGAACCACCCAGGCATTAAAGACTCTCCTGTCTGGGTGGGCAGACACTTCCCTCCACAAACAGTAATTGCCTTTGGGTTTAAAAAGCAGCCACTTGTCAGGGGAGGAATTCTCCTCCAAAGCCCAAAGAGGCATGCTGACCCAGAGGAGCTGCGTCTCCTAGTTGTCAGGCCAGTGAGAAACGTTTTCTGCAGACTCTGGCGAACATCCCTTACCTAAATCCAAACTTATCCATTGCAACAGAAATGTGCCGCGGCTGTGGAAAACACCTATAGGTGTTGTGGTCATCCATGGGAATGAGGTCCACGTCACTAAACACGAAGCAGTTGTAGTCATAGTCCTTCAAAGACTCCTGAAAGCCAACGTTGAGGAGCTTAGCACGATTGAACATGACGTCTCCTGCCTGGCGCAGAAACAAAAGAAGTGGTATCAGGTGCCATAAGAACCTCAGAGCTGAAGGAAGGGACTGGAGACATGTCCACCACATGTGGTCATTAGTGCGCGCTTGGGCCTCATTTTGCTGCCCTCACTTTGCAAGTGAATACCAAGTGGTTGGCCCCGAGTCAGCAATCCCACTTCTAGGAATTTTCCTGCAGGACTTACAAATGTGTTAATAACATACGAACAGTGTTGTTCACCGTGGGGTGTTCCTCAAAGCAAACAATGACATAAGGATCACTAGGGAACTGGTTAAATAAATCATGGTACATGCATATAGTAGAAGAGAGTTGTTTTTAAAAATAAGGAAGCTCTAAAAGGAAATGATTGTCAAGATAGCATTGTTAGGTGAAAGGACATTTAAAAAAACATGTTATTTTTTATATACTACATGTAGACTGATTTCAGGAAAGAGATTCAGGAAACTAGTGCCAATGGGACTTTACAATTCTCCCCTCTTTATAGGGCTGTCTATGGCTGATTATCACATACTGTGTGCCTACCAGATGTCTCTCACCAAATGAGGCACCAGAGAAATATGGAGAACCCAACTCAATGGGGGCTGTCCCCTCATGCTGCCCACTGCAGAGGGGAAAGCTGCATGATACATGCCATGATAGATACACAGTGATGACAGGGAGGACCATACCGCTTCATGCTGTCCACCAGTGGGTCCCGAACCCCCAGGCCTGTTGGTGCAAAGGTACTTCACATTTTATTTATTTATCTTACTTGTTTCCAGTCTCCTCCAATAAACTGTAAGCTCAATGAAGGCCAGAATTTTTACTCTTTATTCACCCAGTGCCTTAACACTGCCTGGCATAGAGTAAGAGCTCAATAAATAATGGACTGTTGGATGGATGGACAGATGGGTGGATAGATGGATGGATGGACAGACTAATGAATGAATTTCAACATACAATGGTAGAGGGACACCTTTTCTTGGATGTTCTAACCAATTCCCCATCCCCCAACCTCAAGGTCATGCATCTCTGCTCTTACCAACCATGGCCCCAAGTTAGTAAGGACGTAGCAGTTCACAGGCCCTTACATACACAAGCTCTCAAGCCAGCCGAAATCCTCACCAATGAAGAAACTAAGTCAGGGGAGGGACAGGCTTGGGGCGGCAGCCTAGCACTCTGGAGATGTCAGTTAATGCCCAGCATGAGGGCCCTTTAACTTTGGGGTGAAATGTACCTGAAAAGCACCAGCAATTCCTACCCAATCTCAAAAGTGGGATGCCCAGCATCCTCGCTCCATACCCCCAACAGTGGGCTTAGAAACACACTTCAGGAGGCTACCTGTGTGAGTAGAGAGAACAAGCACAAGAGACTCACAGCCGCCCAGCCTCAGGTGAGTGACTCAGGAAAACAAAGCAGGAAAGGAAGATGAGTGCCAGAAAGTCAGACAGAGCAGCCAGAGAACACTCAATCACTTTAGGAAACATTTACACAAAAGCTCCTTTCTTGAGCCCATAACAAAGCTTTCTATCCATGCATGGTGGCTGTTCTACCAGTCAAGAGTCACTTCAAATGCTGCCTTCATGCTACTTCTGCGTTAAGTCATGAGGCATATGAGAACTATGAAGCTGCTGGCATTGTAAGCGTAACAGTACATTACCAACATTCACTGGGTGGACGTGACATGCCGGGCGCAGGATTAAGTGCTTTACATGCACGGCAGGTCATTCAAACACCTCAACAATCTTGTAATGACCTTCGCCCCAACCCAGATCTGTTTCACAGCCTCTACCTTTCAGTGATGGGGAGACAGACTCACGCCTGGTGCTTTCCATTTTGCTCCGTCAGCCCCAGGAAGATCCCAAAAGCATTACTTTTGTCTGAGTATTTCAATTTTTTTTTTTTTTTTTATATAGAGGCATGTTATTTATTTATTTATTTATTTGTTTGTTTGTTTTGTTTATACAAGCACTGGGTACAGTCAGAAGCGCGGGAGGGTGAGAGAATTCACCAGAGCCAGAGCGGGGAGCAGAGCAGGCAGAAGGACCGAAGTACACTGCTGAGGGGAGCAGCGGGCGGCAGGAGAGGTCTGTGCACCATGCGGGATCCTCCTCCGGTGGCCGGGGAGCAGCCGGGGATTGAACCGGCGTCGCAGAGGCCGCAGGCAGCTTCGCAACCCAGCGCTCAACCACTGCGCCACCAGGGAGGCCCTGTCTGAGTATTTCAAACACAATTCAGCCCCACTGATAACTTTTCTAACAAGTGAAGGGTAGTGTCTCATCAAAGCCTTTCAAGCTTGTGTGAAAAGATGGGTGCTTACCCAGTGCTGTTCCTCAGTAACAGGGACAGGGTTCTTGGTGGCTATGCCTGAACCAGAGGACCTGGCCTCCAGGCCACAACTGTTTGACCTTAGCAGACTAAGGCTACACTCAGCAATTTTCTTCTCCCAGGAAATGGAAATTTGGAACCATGAATGGGCACCTCCAGAGACAAACTCCAAGAACCATGGAAGAGAAACCTGATTCAACCTCCTTGCCATGTGTGATGCAACAGCTCCTCAGTAACAACAAAATAAGGCTCTCTCTTGGGTGGCTCACACTTGGAACTAGTTAGGCAGTTTCCCAAAATAACCTGAACTACCTCTCACTCCATCTTTCCTCCTAGCCTGGCCACACGTGTGTCCCTGGGGGATATGACAGGCAGGGTACATTTTTGCAGGTGTTACTACCTACTATAGCCTACTAGGAACTCGGGGTCAGGAAAATGGTAGATAAGAAAAGTGAATGTCTTCCTCTTCCTCCCCTGGGATTATAGAAAAGTCAATTCTAGGTTTCTCTGGGTAAAATGCTCTAACACCTTGGATGACTTCCTTTGATAGACAGATAGGTCCTTGCTAGTCCCCCATCCCCCACTGTTAACAAGAGGTGCTCATTCCTTGAAGGGAGGGGGAAGACACCAGGCCACATTCCTGGTCCTGTTCACTGGGCACCTTCATCCAGTGCATCTTCTGCTTCATTCACTGAGCACTTACTGTCTGGCCCAGACAAATACAGCTGTGACAGACACAAGCAGTGGCCTTTTACCCCGGAAATGATAACTTCTTCATTTATTAGCTATGTGACTTTGGGCAAGTCATACCTCTAGGCCTTAGTTTCCTCATTTGGTCATGGGGATGACAACAGTAGGTTGCATTACGTCAGACAACGCATGAAAAGGCCTCAGCACACTACCCAGCGCAAATACTGGCCACTATTATAGGATTGGTCTTTCCATCCATCTTGCAGCAGACAGACCTTTTGAAATATCTCCCAGAGATCCAACCTGGAGACACATTCCTCCCAATTTCTGCTTCTCTGATGGAGGAGGTATTTCTAAAAAGGATTAAGACTCAAGTGAGCTTGCCTGTAGCACACAGCATTAAAGTCTCTGTAGCAGCAGGAGAAAACCAGATAGCCCTTTAGAGACATGTGAAGTGGCCAGGAAGTCACACTCGGAAAGGGAAGCTACACACTGGGAACAGGCGTCCCACTGAAAGCTTTTTAAGTGCAGGCTTCACAGATAGTCCAAGTTATATTTATCCTTTCCTTCTAAAGCAACTGGTTCCTCTTGCCTGAGGAAAGGACTGGAACAAAAAAAGGACAAAAACTATATGACAATCCACAGCTGGCCAGGGCAGCTGTCCTGTTGGCCAAAGGTAACAGAAAAGCTTTTTCTGACTGGGCATATAATTCTGACGATAGGCAGGTCAGTCAAGCAGAGCCAACAATGACCAGTCCAGAGAGAAGAGGAGCCTGCGCTAGATCAGTCAGGCATGTCAGCCTGGGGCAGAGTGAGGAGATTTGAGGTAGGTGGCACAGGCATGATGGTCAAGCTCCTCAGAGGAGAGAAAAGGAAGACGTGACCATCATACACTTTATGCAGGAAACCCAGTGTCCTTCTGGTAAATTTGAGTAGCAGGGAGGAATGTTTTAAGTATCAGATGGCTCTCCAGGGCTGTTAAAATCTTTTTCTACAGCTCACAATTACGCTAAAGTGAGGAGACAGCTAATAGTATTGTCCACTGAAAATGGAATTCTTTGACATTTCTGTTCAGAATGTAAAATGGTGCAGTTATCTTGGAAAATAGGATAAACAAAGTATTGCCATATGACCCAGCAATTCTACTCCTAGGTATATACCGAAGAGAAATGAAAACATATGTCTACACAAAAGCTTTTATATTATCTATGCATGACAATGTTTTTCATAATCGCTAAAAAGCAGAAAGAACCTAATTGTCCATTTACCAGTAAATGGATAAATAAAATGTGTCGTAACTATCAATGAAATCTTATTCAGCAATAAAAAGATACATGCAACAACATGGATGCACCTTGCAAGCATTACATTAAGTGAGAGAACTCAGTAACACAGGGTCATCTATTGTATGATTCCATTTAGGTGAAATGTCCAGCATAGATATCTCCTCAGAGACAAAAAGATTGGCAGTTGCCGAGGGCTGAGGGGATAGAGATGTGGGGCTTCTTTTTGGCATAATAAAAAGGTTCTAAAGTTGATTTTGTGGTGCTAAGATATATAACTCTTGAGTATACTAAAAGTCACTGAATAATATACTTTTAATAGGTGAACTCTATGCTATGTGATTATGTCTCACTATCGTGGTTACTGAAAAAATAGAACAACGAGCCAGTCCCAGAGAGAGGAAAAGGCCAGAGGATCTGTTCTACCCTTCCTCATACATTCATTCATGCAGCGTGTACTATATGCTTGACGGTAAGGCTACAGAGAAGGAAAAGACAGGCCCTGCTTTCGAGTTCAGAGTTAAACAGGCAATTATAATGTGACAATGGGTGCTTCAGGGTGAGCAGTTACCAGGAAAGGGAAGGAAGGGCAGCTACAGAACCAAGAATATATGGAGAAGTGGAGGTGAAGACAATGAACTAGTCCTAGGGGTTCAGAGAAGGCATCTAAGAAGTTAGGTAAGTTTAGCGGGGAGGCATGAGAAGAATATTCCTAGGAGAGACAGCAGCATTTATAAAGGCTGTGAGGAAAAGAGAACATTCAAGGAACCATAAGAAATATAGAATGCGGAAGCCAGAATAAAACATGGAGGAGGAGTTAGACCAAATCACAGTGGGGGGAGGGAGGCTGGGTACTCTGCTAAAATATTTGGGCTTTATCTTTGAAGATAAAACTTGAAGGTTTTATTTATTTTTTTTTTAAAGATTTATTTTATTTATTTATTATACAAGCACTGGGTACAGTCAGAAGTGTAGGAGGGTGAGAGAATTCACCAGAGCCAGAGCGGGGAGCAGAGCAGGCAGAAGGACCGAAGTACACTGCTGAGGGGAGCAGCGGGCGGCAGGAGAGGTCTGCGTGCCATGTGGGACCCTCCTCCAGTGGCAGGGGAGCAGCCGGGGATCGAGCCGGCGCTGCAGAGGCTGCGGGCAGCTTCGCAACCCAGTGCTCAAGCGCTGCTCCACCGGGGAGGCCAAAACTTGAAGGTTTTAAACAGGATTATGCATTGCATGTCAAGGTTGGGTATGCGCCACTCCCCAACCAAAGTCAGGGAGACGGGTTCAACAGCAGCAGCTGCATGATTCCTGGGAGAGAGACTAGGCAGTAATAGTGGACAAGCAAAGAATGCCTTCCCCAAGGGCAAAGGCAAGGACTCCACTTCCCTGTTTTATGCCTCACTTGCTCCCTGGGCATGAGCACTGCACTTGCAAGTAGCCTTCGTGAGGCTTTCAGAGCAGGTGCCAGAGTCTGGTCCAATCCCCAGGCAAATCTTGACTGCTTAAGCCAAGAGTGGCTTTCCCCTCATTTATGGGACTGATGAACAACTACAAAAAGCCACTGTTGGCTTGCCCAAGATCCAATAATCTCTAGAAGGTCTGTCTAACTACCCTGCCTTCCCTGGATGGCAGGCCCATGCATGCTCACCTGCAGACATGTGCCCAGACCATTATGGCTTGGGGACTGACCGTATCTGGCCCTTCCTCCACCAAAAGACACAGCCGCTAGGACACTGGAAATATCAACTGGAAGCCCAGACTCTCAGAGAAGCAGTCTCTATGTGATGGGAGAGACAGTGTTGCTGCTGTACACATGCCCTGGCCCATCACAAAGCACTCTCCCACACCCACAGATACCCCCAGGCTCTCAACTCCAGAGACCCAGAGGCAGGGGGCTGCAGTCAGTGGCGGTATCTGCTGGTACATGGTTTTCTGTTACCCCTGAGCCACCAAGAAGAAAGGCCTTGTCTGAGTGGGTAGTAGGAAAGCCGAGAAAGACCTGGCTGAGCAGTCTTCTGGCAGGACTGACCGTCAGGACCTGGTAGACAGGCTGGCTGGGAGGTGATTCCCAGAGAACTGCTGAGAAGGCCTGGGATGATACAAATGCTGAGTTTGCAAAGAGGCTAATATCTACTCACTTATGATTTCACAGCAGTTCGGCCTCTGGGTTTTTAACCATAATAATATGGTAACCCTGAGCTTGGACAAGGCCCTAAACAAAACTTGGCTCTGACTTAAGGTTTTCACCCAGTGAGTGAAGGAAACATGCCTTTCAGGGTCAGGGGGCTACGGGGAAGGTTCCATCTGCCAAAGTCATTGCTCACAAGAGTGAGCATTATCTTTGGCCCTTGCTGGACTAGGACTCATGTCAGGAGCAACAAGTTGCCTTCAGAGAGAAATGAGCTACAGAACAGCCCAGCAGGGATTCTGGGTGAGGGGAGCACAGAGAAGAGCTTTATGACTCCATCTCCGCAGCAAGCAGGCCTCTCTCCCTGGGCCTGAGACACTAAGACTTGACTTTCTATGGAAAAGCACTTTAGGAAATAAAGGCTTCCCTTCAGAAAGCAATTTGACCATTTATAGTAAGAATCATAAAAATATTTAAACTGTCTCTGAAACCCATGATCTCAGTACCTGAAAACCTGGCAGGGGGAAATGATAACTAAATGTGGAAGAAGCAAACCCAGAATAAGCTCTAGACGCAAAGCTGTTCATTACAGTATTATTTACTCTAGGTGAGAAAATGGAAATTATCTAAATGCCTTCAAGTAGAGGAATGGCTAAGTTAATTATGGCTGAATGACGTGCTCAACTACTAGGAAGGCATGGAAAGTGGTGATTACAAAGACTATGAAATAACATGGGAAGATGCAGATGACACAGAATTGAAGAAAAAAGCAGGATACACAAGTGTACATACAAACAGTGTGAGCTCAGCCGGCGTAATTTTAAGAAGCCAAAATTTCTTTGACCTCGGCACAGTGGGCTGGCTTTCAGTGACCTTGGCATTTCTGAGCAAGCCCACAGGGGCCATGGCCTGGTCTGGAGACCCCTGGGGATGGCATTCTCACAGGATCATTTCTACAGCTTTGCCCTGATCGGCAGGGCCTGGGTTCTGGGTTTGATTTGGGGGCGTGTGGACATTACCAGGGCGGCAGCGGTGGTGGCAGCAGCGGCGGCAGTCACAGCAGTAGTTAGGTCGGCACTCCACTCTCTCTCTCTCTCTCTCTCTCTCTCTCTTTCTCTCTAGGAGGTGGAGGGTACAGAAGAGGAGGTAGGTGGAGAGTAAGAAGCAGATCACAGAGAGGAGCTCTTCCTTCAGCTTGCTTTGCTACAAACAGAATTAACAAGTAAAGGCAGAGGGCCCCCACGAGAAGGGAAAAAAAAGAAAAAGAAAAGAGCGGAGGATGGAGGCAAAGAAGAGAGGTGAGGAGGAGAGCCAAGTGTCAGGGCTGCAAAGGAAAAAGGGGCCCATTCTGACGACTTGTTCCAGGGCAAAGGCAAATTCCAAATAAACTGTCATTCCCCATCACGACATCAAGGGTGAGCCGAGAAAAACAGTATTTCGCGGAACGACATTCAGGGAAGTGATTCGCGAGCCCTGTGAGTACCTGGAAGTGCTTCCACGCATCCCCCGGGGGAACAGAGACACGGGCCAGAAACACAGTGAGTGGAGGCGGCGACGGATCCCCAGGGTCATACACAAACAGCAGGAGGACAGGCAGGCTCCTAGGCCCCACGCGCCAAAGGCTGAGTGCCCAGAGGAAAGGGACAGGACTCAACCCCTTCCCCAGCCCCACCCCTCACACGTCAATCTGGCTGCTGACAGCTCAAGGAAATGGAGGGCCAGGATGGGAAGGGCAGCAAAGATGAGGAGATCAAGAGAAAAATAAACCAAAGCAGTGGGGGGGTCACAAGCCCAGGTGGCTGTCTCCTATAATGGCGTGGACTCTGCTTCACCCCAGTTCTTCGGGGTCTCATTTAGGAAAAGCTGCTTGACCCAATGAGAGAGAGGTTGCTGAGATGTGGTAACAGATACTTTCTGTCCTAGGAGCTACAAAGCCCTGTGTCCACATCTGCCACACTTGGTCTCAGGCAAGCAGCTCGCAACCACCTCACCAGGGCACATGTGTCAAAAGGGAGAAAATTCTAAAGCCAAAGACTCCTTAAGCAGGAGCTGGGTCTCCTCTCTGTGCTCCCTTCCCTAACCTTTCAGGCCTGGGTCTACCTGTTGGCACAACCCATATACTCAGAGGTTATTCCTCCAAAGCTACAAATTCCCCCCAACCCCCTGGACTTACAGCCTTACCAAGTGGCTGTGCGCTGCTTCCCACTGAGGGACGTGGAGGGTTCAGGGGAACAAACACAGCAAGGTGAGGTGTTCCTTAAAACTCAGGTGACTTCTGTCAAATCCCAGCTCCACCACCAACCATCATGGAACCTGAGCAGCTACTTACCGTCACGAGTCTTCCCTCAGCAGGAACAATGACAATACTCATTTGTCTCACTGAGGGTCAAAATTCAAAGTGGTATTATGAAAGATGTTCAGCCCTAAGGACCATAAAGAAGTTTTATTATGGCTATCAAAAACAGGGAGGCCACCCTTTGGGCCATGTCCCAGGCAGCTTGCTCTGGACAGCAAGGAGCAGGATGCTTTGGGGAGCTGCTCCTGGGGGAGGGGGCGTGCAGGTTCATAAGGGTCATGACCTGGCCTGATAAAAAAAGGAGGCTTCATTTCCAAGAGGGAAGTGGTATAAGTAAAATGGCACAGAGGCAGACACCCCAGTAGCACTGACCCTGCACAGAGCCCTGTGGCCAGGGAGATAGAGAAGTTCACCCAGAAAGTGCTAAATGAATTGGGGGCAACAGGGAGGGAGAAGTCAGCCCCACTCCAGGGATTCACAGAGCTAATAAAGTTGAGAGGCCTTCAATGGTGGCCAGAGAGCAAGAAGGGGAGGAAAGAAAGGAAAACGTGGCACCAGGGTGGCCTGAGCAAAGGCACTGGAAGGAAAGCACAGCGTGTGTCTGGGTGAAGCTGGAGTGTGGCTGTGCATAAAGGGCATGAGAGAGACCTGAGGAGGAGCCTGGAGGTAGGTCAGGGCTGAACCTTGGAGGGCCTAGAATTCCAACTTCAGACCGTTTAGACCCTGGCCTTGCCCATGGGCAGTGCGGACATACTAAAGGTTTCAGTCACAACTAGAAAGAGCACAGGCAGCTGACTGAGTGCAGAGGTGCCAGAGGGTATACAAACAGAATTGGAGATTCCAGTCCTGGGTGCTGGAAATGGGCACCAAAGCATTGCCATAGCAAATACAAACCCACCTAGCCCGCCGGGCCTGCATTCCTCACCCCTTTGGTAACTTTTATGATCGTTAACCCACAAACATCTTGCATTTTTATTTAGGGCTGGTGCTGCCAGGTGGCAACCTGCCCTCCTGTCACCTTGGGCGGTTTTAGATTCCTTTTCCTGATTAAAGCATGAGGAAGTGGGGCCTCCCTGGCGGTGCAGTGGATTGAGCGCCACGCTGTGAAGCTGTCCACAGCCTCTGCAGTGCAGGTTTGATTCCCCGCTGGCCAGGGAGCAACCCACATGGCGAGCAGACCTCTCCTGTCTCGCCCGCTGCTCCCCTGAAGAGTGTCTTTGGTGTGTCTGCCTTTTCTGCTCCCCATTCTGTCTCTGGTGAATTCTCTCACCCTCCCGTACCTCTGACCTGTACCCCAGTTCTTGTATAAATAATTTTTTTTAAAAAAGCATGAGGAAGTGCAGCATGCACCCCCCATCTCCGATGACATCGCGGTAGCAACTCAGCACCAAGGTCCCAGTGTCGGGTCGCAGGTAGAACGTCTGTGCCTCTTATCAGCACCCTGATGCCCCAGAACCCTAATAGAATCCTCAAACACTGGTGAGCTAAGGCAAAAGGAGGGATGGAGACCTGAGGACAAACAACAATGCTTGCTCTTCTCTGTCTCAACAGGTAAACTTCTCCATCCCACCCCCACTTATGGTGAGATGTTAGTTGTTATGGTCATCAGAGGGACCTAAACCCAAAAGGGGTGGTTAATAGCTTATATGGACAAGGGTAGGAGCCATGAAAGCTCACCCCAGTAAGTGAGCAAAATGCCAAAGTGCATCTGGCCACTAAGGAAAGCACACTTTGGGATAAGCCCTGAGCTAGGCAGTGTCCAGCGCCAGGCAGCACAGTGGTGGCACTGGTACAAGTTGGCTTGCTTAGCTGTTCTGCCAGCTTGGACTGGGTAGCAGGAGCATAAAACCGCTATAGGACATTTGGAAATTGTTGTTTGAAACTGGAGGGGGTGTTGTTTATATAAATTATGTCACAGGAATTTTTAAGATGGTGGCTAGATTTCACACCGCTATTTGTTTAGACTTTAGAAAACTTGGCATCATCAGTAACTCTTATAGCCTCCTTACCCAAGTATATATTTTAATCTAATTTATATGCCACCCAGACCAGAGCTGTTTTCTGCTTGGGCAGACTTGTGGGAGGCCATTAGATGCCTTGATGAATGAGATCTGACATCACTGTGTCTGTAGCCTCTCACTCAAATACTGATAAAGCACAGTCAAAAAGAGAAAGAAGATGCAGCTGGCACGGTATGTTTTTAGTAATCCCTGCTGGCTCCTGGTGACCGTGGCTGCCTCTTCCAGGTGCTCACTGCATTGCTTTATTAACAGGATCCTGAATCTTACTGTGATCAATGTGTGTTCACCGGCATCACACAAATACTCCTGATGGCTGGGCTTAAACAATACCGGTTGGATTGCAGTGACCTGGATTCTGCAGCACATTTACCTGTTCTCTCTTATATTCCCAATATTTTTCTGAGATGACCCACAACTCTTGAGCTGTCTAGCTAGCAGATTTTCTTAAAGCCATGGTCCGTGCTTACTTGGTCAAAGGACTCAAAGAGCCTTGAGTGGTTTGCCTGCAACATGCTCTCCCACCTTGAGCTTTGGTTCCCCCAGAATAGGTCTGTTCTGTTCTTTCCTGCCTAATAGACTCAGTCCCCCACCCTCATCTCATAACTTCTACTGCCTTCCTACCCCAGTGGTCACCTCAATCTCTAGGACCAGACAAGGCTCCTTTCTGCCTTGAAGTCCCAGTTCACTGGCTCCAGCTGAGAAGGCCCATGTCTCCCTCTAGTCTTTAGAACCTGATTTATCACCCGGTTCTACCAAGCCTCTTCTGCTGAGCTTCCAAAGCTTTTAGCAGCCACCTTCCATTCACATGCTATGTGGGGCTGACTGGGCATGGAAGCTTCAGGACAGGCGGAACTGGGATCTTACAATTTTTAAAATCTCTTTGCAGCAACTGGTGCAGTACTATGCCACAGCAGTCCATAGAACTGCCTGCTCTTTCTAGTCTTCCTCTGGTCCAGGGGAAGGCATGTAACTTGGATGGAAGCTGTCAACTACCAACAATCTCATTACCTAAAGCAGATCCAAGTTCATCTGGTAATGCAATGGACATTGGGTCCTTTAGAAATGGGTAAACTCTGTCTCCTCAGATGTATTTCAATGAAATTTAGTCTACAGATAAGCTAGGGTTATTATTGCACCAGGAAATTAAAGTCTAAAGAGAGGAATTTAAGCATTCAAGATAAATTTGAAATATCAAAGTTATGCTCTTGGAAAAACAATCATGCTTCTTACATAGACTAGAAATAAGCTATTTCAGATAATCCATTGAAATAAGTTATTTCAAAAACAAAACACTGCCTCCTAAATCAATCTGATTCTCCAGGTTGTGGTGATGAAGGATGCTATGTTTTCAATGTCAGTTCGTTAAGCAGGGTTAAACCCGACACACACCCAGATCATTGCCGTTGCTTTAATAATGCAGTGAGAAGCTCTCTTTTCACAGACCGGTCCAGCCCACATGGTACTTAGAGGCCCGGGGGGGGGGGGGGTCAGATTTCCCCAGACATTTGTTGGGGGCTGGCATTCAGGCCGAAGCCATGGGCACTGTCTCCTGCAGGTGCCCCAGAAGATGCAGTTAGACTGGGAAACTTCAGCTGCTGAAAAATCTGACATTTAAATGAGTGCTTTTACTTTTAAAAGGCAAAACATGCAGTCACTCCAAAACAGGAAATAACCAGTGCTTTACTGGGGATGTGGGGAAAATTGAGATTGTGATTTTTCTCTCAATTTCGTTGGAAGGCTTTTCCAAAAGAAAACCAAACTCCCCACCCAGCAATTTCCCCTACCTAAAAGAGCTGATAGCTGCGAGCAAGCAGACTGTATAACATTTAGATTTATGAACTATTAAGATACGAGTGTGGCGTCAGCAGGATGGAAACCACCAACTGACTAGGCAATTACTTCCTTTCCTTCACCCATATTTACAATCTCCCCGCCCCTCCCGCCTTTTTTCTAGAACCTCACCTGGTTGATAACGTAGATGCCATAGTCCAACTGCTGCCGCTGCAGGATTGGGTGCAAGTAATAGAGCCAGTACTTGAGATGCTCCTGCCGGTTGCGGAATGGAATAATGATGGCCACCTTGTGAGGAGAGATGCAGTCCTTGGGGCTGTAGCGGCCGCCCGCCTTCACTTTCGGGTTCTGTTTCTCCACAAGCGTCAGGTCCACTTTTATATTAAAATCGATTGGCATGGGGCCGACTAGAGAGGTGGAGGGAAGGAGAAGTTAGCAGGCCACAGGACTTGTGGCTCCACATTGTCAGATGGCCAGGCTGCCGCTGCAGGAGACATCTCTTCCTGAGACGCAGAGTGGTCGTGGAAAAGGCACTCACGTCCAGCACTAGGTGTCATGTCCAGCATTAGTGTGACCAACCACCCCAGAAAAATCCTCACAGCTGTGTGGCCTTTGTGCAGGTTCTCTCTGAGCCTAGCCTAGTGGGGAAAGGGGTGTGTGTGTGTGTTGGGGAGGTCAGTGGAGCAGGCTTCAATAAGAAAGTAGTAGGGAGTGGCATGAGGTCCTGCTCCCAGCTGTCCATTAAGAATCTCTTGGCTCGGGCCTCCCTGGTGGCGCAAGGGATAAAGACGCAACCTATGAAGCTCGCCATAGCCACTGCAACACAATTTTGATCCCCGGCCAGGGAGATACCCACATGGTGCAGCAGACCTCTCCTGACTCACCTGCTACTCCCCTCAGCAGGGTATTTCAGTAGATCTGCCTGTTCTGTTCCCCGCTCTGTCTCTGGTGAATCCTCTCACCACCCACAACTCTGCCCTGTACCCCAGTTCTTGTATGTATGAATAAATAAATCTAAAAAAAAAAAAAAAAAAAAAAGAATCTCTTGGCTCTTTGCTAATTACCTAGGTCCTTCCCAAGAACGTCAACTCAGACTCTCCAGGGGAGGGACTTGAGAGTCCATATTCAAGTCCCAGGAAAGGACCTGATGGGAGGGGCTGGAAAGCATGAGGCCCCAGAGGAGACTGAGAGGAAAGAGTGAAGAAAGAGCTGGAAAGAGCACCAAAGACGAATGCCTAATACAAGCAGAGTGTGCAGATAGCAAAGGGGATGAAGAAGGGACGAAGGATTAACTCCAAATTTCTGGCTTGGAAGAACATGGCGCCAGACTATGGTGATAGAAATAAGTAAGACAGCTCCTGGTGTAGAGGAAAGCTGATGAGATAAAGATGGTTGATACTGAGTGAGCAGTAGGTTCGGAGTAGAAAAAGTGGGAAGGTGAAGGTGCAGAGGCAGACGTGGAAGTCCTTATCTCCTGAGGAGAAACAGGTTGTGCCAAGAGAGGGCTGCACTTCTCGAAGGCTGGGAACTGCCTCACGTGCCACACACAGAGAGGCAGAAGCAAAACGACTGGCCCATGGCACACAAAGAATGGGGGAAAGGGTCAACACTCCAGCCTAGGTCCTCAGTACTCCCTGGAGGCCAGACTTTCTCAAAGTGGGTTCCAGGAAACACAAATCCCAGGGCGATACTCAATGGAAGGTCAAATATGGGTGGGAACCCTGCACTCTAAATCCTGCTTCTTGAATGTCATGAGGTATATATACCAAAGACTCTGGGAAGGTGTATAATCAAGAGCTCCACGCTTCACTTTATTTAACCCACCATTTCCAAACTCTTGTGGCCACGGAGCTAATTAGTTAGGATACTTTGGGGACTACACACTACTCTGGCGCAAGAAGCTTCACTGCAAAGTGAACTGTCTACAAAAAAACTACCTACAAAAGAAGGACCCCTACAGAACAGAGGGGAAACACTAACCACAAACTCAGAACAAGTTCACCTAAAACACACCTGTGAGAACCACCAAGGCCCAGTGCGAAGCCCTCTGTTGCTTGTTTACCAAGTACCCCCTAGTCCCCAGAAATCACTCACCCCCCTGAAATGAGACATTCTGAGAACAGGAAGCTAGTTCCTCTTGCCCCTCCTGCTTCACACCAGGTGTGCACTTGCCACCTCCTGCTCTCCCCTCCCCAGGACTCCTGCTCTCCCCTCCCCAGTACTCCTCACAACCTCCCTCCCTCCAGCCCCATCATCATGGGACCCACTCTTTTGCATTTATTTTCTCCTGCGATACAGCTCTGATCACATCACTTTCCCACTAAAAACCTCTGATGGCTCTCAAGCTGTGTTGTTTTGGACAAAGGTCAGGCCAAGCCTCTTAGCTTGGCAACAAGGCCCTTCACTCTCAACTCTACCTATACGCCCCTTGATGCACCCCCCCCCCATCCCTATTAACCATGCCTAGGACAACACTTTGCCAGAAATGCCCTTTTTCCTCTTACTGGTAACCTGTTGCATTGATAGGCTACAATCTCAAAATCAAACCTCCAGTGGGCTTCATCCTTCTCCTCTCTACATTGCCACAGAACTCAGACAGCAGCAGACCACCTGGGACAGGAGACTCTCAGGGCTCCAAAAGCCCTGGTCCCTCCCTGGCCTCTAGGGAAGGACCAAGGCCTCACAGCTCAGTCACTACAGAAGGGCCTGCTGACCTAGCTCCAATATCCTAAGGTACCTTCAGCTAAGCAGTCACTCTGCCCCACCACTAAGAGGTCACCTTGGACCAGTTTTTTCCAAACCTATCATCAGAATCTCCTGAGGTACTCTGTAAAAATATGGACTCTCAGGCCCCTCCCCTAGAGAGTCTGACTTGACTGATCTTGGAAAGGACCTAGGTAATTAACAAGGAGCCAGGAGATTCTTCATGGACAGCTGGGAACAGGACCAACCCCCGCCCTTCACAAGCCTCAGGGCTTTTATGGAGGTAGCCCTTCCCCAGGAGCCCCACGAGGCTGGACTCCCCAACCCTGAGGATAGGCTTTTGGGAGGCCTTGCTGCACAGCACTTGTGAAAAACATGAAAGCTCCGTCATTAGGCTCTTTTAACTTCAGAGGGCCCCACAACATCTGCAACTACCCAGGACCATCTGAAGATGTTGCTAAACATAACTGCATTTTCAGGAACCCAAAAGACATCTGGATTGTCACCTTACTAACTCACACCTTCTCTAACCAACCAGAAGGCACGAATTCACACTGGGCCTATCTAGCCGCCCCAGAGTAGACACCTTCAGGCTGGAAAGCAACTTAGCTTCACCCCTTCTGGAGCTCCAGAAAGGTGGTCCGGAGGTAGTTTCCTCTATAGGAAAGGATGCCTGAGCCTGGCTCAGCTCCATCAGTGGCTTGCTGAATGATCTTTGGGCAAATACCACCCTCTCTCGGCATGCTGGTTTCCCATCTGGAAACTCAGGAATTGGAACTCAACCTGCCTCCAGTGAATGCTATTGAAACACCCTCACCCTGCCCTTACCGCCTATGACCAAACCTGCTTCTCTGGGATCCCACCCGTGACTGACACCACTGTCCAGCCTATGAGAAGAACTGAGTGGTTCATCTTCCCCTACCTCTCCCCTTATCCCCAGCACACTCAGCCACACACAGGAGGTGACACCAGCATGTGACAACCCATGGGAGCCTACTCAGGTGCCAACCAGAGTCTTTTCTAAAGCACCTGTTTATAAAGACTTTCCTGCAGAAGTGTCAAGGCCACTTCTAATTTGTTTTAATCAATATTCTCTGGATACCTAATGTGGTGCCAAGTTGTGTGCCAAGTCCGAATATGCGGTATTGAGAGGAGGGGATAGGATGGACAAGATAGTTCTGGACTTCAAGGAGCTCCCTGATAAGTGTGTGGCAGAACCTAGTGAGAACCACACTGGCTCACGGCTGGCCAGCAGCAGAGCTTTATCCCCACACTGCCTCTTCTCCCTCCCCTGCTCCTCTGCCCCTCTCACATCATGTCTCCAACCCTTCTCGCCCAATCTGGCAATTCTTTCCTTACCTTCTCTCTTTACAGCCTGCACAGCTCTGAGAATTGTGCAGCTTATACAAGTGAACAGTGATTGAACAGTGTGGGCTGTCAGTGGCAGCTCCAGGCCTGGAGCCAAATTACCTTCTTGGGTTCAGTGCCAACCAGGAGGCCTCCCTGAGTACCCTGCAACACCTCCTGCCATGCTTCGGGGGCCATCCTCCACTGCGTGCCTGGTTCTGTCCCAGGGAAAAAATCCGGAGAGCACAGACTCCAGAGCAGTGAGCAGCTCTACTCAGAACCACGCAGCCCTGCTACCAGATCTCAGAGCCACTGCCCAGAGTCTCAGGGGGAGGTGAAGGGAGCAAGCGGAGGGCTGAGGGCTCTATGACAGTCCTCAGGCCAAGCCAAGGCTCCCTTGCTGTGCGGCGCACGGCGTGTGCTACCACAGGCCCTCGGCCCTGCTGGGCTGGCTTGTGTGTTTTCTTGGCTCTGGAAGCTGGGAAGCAGGGTTACGTAAGCAGATGAGCAGATGTGAGCCTGTCCTCGGCTCCCCCGGCTAAAGCCCCGCCACGTGGGCCTCTCGGCTGGGAGTCCAGGTCATGGCCTTGCGTGTAAGTCGCTCAATAACTTCAATGTGTGAGCTCAACTCAGACAGATTCCACTGCTTCCCTTGCCCGGCCCGGCAAGCCCAAGCACACACATGCCCTTCCATCAAGCCCTGCTAATCTAGAGTCAACCCAGCACAGACTCCATGCCTCACGTTCACGCTGGCTGAACCCCCCGTTCAGTCCTTGAGCCTCAGTTAAGTAGGCAGGAACATCTAGTTACCGCTTCCCAACAGACCAGCCAGTGTTTCAGGGTACAATTCCTGCCCTGATGCTGCCTGGAACAATGTTTCACCAGCCTGGGACAAGACAGTAGACAACGGTTCTTCTTCATTAAAGCTAAATGTCATCGATGTATCTTCCTCCAAGATTAAGTGCTTCTTACTCTTTAAATGTTAAAATGTCCCTTTCAAAATGAAATGATCATGGTGGATTTTGATGCTGGATTGATTTTTATACTTTTAATTTTATGAAAAAAAACATTTGGCAGTTGTTGGTCAGGCCCCTAAGTTTCTTTTGAAATTTTCCCAGCCAGTGAAATTCAAACATTTGAGAACTATGGGGCTAGGCAGTGCCCAGAGCTTTATGGTTCTAAAAGTTGGGGCGCTTGAATATTTCTCTTAGCCAGGTCTCAGTCTGGCTAGCACCCAGCATAGCCCCCTTACAAACCAGCCCCCTGCCACCACGGAATTGTTTCAGCCTCACTTAGGAGGGCTCTTTCCCTCTGTACCAATCTTCCAAAGGCCAGCTATGCCCCAGAAACTGAGCCA